TTTCGCCGCAGTAACAGCAATGACGAACGATGTCGTGCGGCCATTAAATTGATACCACCTGCTAATTGGTACCTCCAATTTCTATCGCTCGGTATACCGACTACCGACCACGATAAAATAATCGCGCGGCGTACCTCCTGGTCAATGTTGCTGCTTGCGCGAAACGATTCACATGCTGCGGACTATCTGACAATTTCGTGAGTGCGTCATAGCGGTGATCAATGTGGCAACACTATTGCAGTCTTGGTCGGATGGATTTCGCTAATGTTCTAGCATATGCGTTCTAGCATGACGTACCTCTCGTTGCATTTGCGTTACAGCTGATACGCGTTCGCAGTTTCTGTGTGAGAAACAAAGACATGAGAAATGGGAAACGATTTATAACTAATATGTTAATACCAAATGTTAATGTTATTTCAAAACAAGTGTTACAAAATTTTAGTATACAATATTATTAATGTAACTTATTTATTTATTGACATTTTATTTATATTATATTTATTTTTATTTTTATTTATTTATTGATTTTTTTAATTTCTTAAATAGATATTTCTTTGGTGCACGTTATAATTTATTTTTTGTTTTTGTTTAATATGTTCGTAATAATATTATACATAAAAATATTTTATGTATTTGCGTAAATATACAAAATATTTCAATACTTGTACGTCATTAAATATACATGCTAAAGTGAGACCTTTGAATATTTCTCTTGACATATAAAATGACATATACAATAAAGCATATCAAAGGTGTCAGTACCATCATTAAAAATTGATGCGTATGAATTATGTCGAAGTCTTCAAGCAGTTCTTCTTCTTTTCACTTTTCTCTCTTTTATTTAACTTGCGTCAGTCGATATTGTCGTGCGTCTGTTAGTTCGCGCTCGAAACAAAACCGACCGGATACAAACTGTCTCGACCAAATTGATCGACATGCCCGACTGCATCCCGAGATCCCACGAAAACTCCACGAAAAAAGCAAGAAAAAGAAACGGAGACTCGAGCTGTGACACGACACGTCGACCAACTTGTGCAAAAGTGCGACTACTGTACATCGAGACTCCGTAAATAGAATTTATCTCTAGTTCCTACATGCAACACATTCGCATCTTTAGCGAGTCATCTCATACCTATGTTAGAAAGCTTTTACATCGGATTACAGTAAATATCTAAGAAAATTTTGATGAAAGGTTCATGGTTTTTCATGGCGGGAAAATATCATTAATTAAAAAAAAAAAAAAATAAGGAAGCACATAAAAAAATAAAGGAATTTTTTTAAAGTAGAAATTTTTCTGCGTGATATTAAAATTCGGAATTCGTGAAAGAAATTATTGTCATATTCTGAATCTTGAATATCATCTCCTCCGCAAATCATTAAATATTCACAAATAAATGTCATATACATCAGTTGAGCGTTATTTAAAATAGCATCAAAGGAAAATTTCTCAGAAAAAAATAGGATTAACCGCCATTCATGTGCTTTGAATACGTTTCCGCTTTGCGCCAAATTGCATCCGCTCTCAGTAGTTATATGCGCGTACAATCCGCCTCCTTCTATCCGGTTGCGAATTAAAGGGAAATCGAGATCGCTGAACGACGAGCGCGGTCATATAACCGTACAAAGAGACGCGTTTCCAAAGCGCTTTCGAGTTGACCTAAGCAGAAAATGGTAGATCTTCGTGGCGGCAACGAAAGGTCAGAACCACTGAAAGCTCGCTTACACTGCTTACCGCCCGGCAAATTGTGCTTGGGTATGTTTTATGTACCGCCTAGTTCGTCGTAAGCTTGCACTCTCCCTCTTTCTCTCACCGGATATTCCTGTAGGATGCCAGAGAGACAAGCAAAAAGTCCATAGTGGAACACGCGAGAGGGATGCCTTCCCTTCCCATTCCTTTCACTATTCGTACACGCTGATTTCTAAGACTGTCGCAACATTGCGAGCGCCGTCTTTTCTTGCCTCGTAATTTCTCTTGCCTAGGAATAGCGAAGTGTTCTTGCGCTTGGAAATTGTGTGGGACGAATTTGATTATTTTGCCGCAGATTACGTCGATTGTTCTTGGAGAGACGTGTCATGTGAAAATTTTACTTCAATTTTAAATAGCTTAACTTGAGGTTTAAAAGCTGTGCATTTATTGTGAGATTTTTAAGGAGATATATAATTATTTATCGCTTTATTGAAATAAAAGCTACACAGATGTTGTTTTACGTCAAATTTGCCTGTCAATTTTGATTCGGGAATGAAACGTTTCTTTCTTATCCATTCCTTTTGTTTTTCTGATAATAAAACAAGAATAAAAAAAAGAGGGAAAAATTTAAAAAAGTAGATATTAAAACTTCTTCTTCTAGTTTATGATGTAGGTGTGTATATCTTATATGCTTATATTATGTTGGTAAGTTGTTATTATTAAAAAGAGAAAAAAAATTTTAATATTTATAATTAATCATTATTAGCAGTACAAGTTATGTAAGCTAACGATCTGCAACCGAAATTACGAGAACAGGAATGTTACGTGCTCGACGTATTTTCGCGTCATGCGGTGGTAGTACGATAAATAAATGGAATGTTCAATCTATTCAAAGCATTTATCTATTTACTACTAATAATGATTAATTAAATGTAAAATATTTTGAAAGTTGAATGTTTTGAATAACGCATACTGAATAACCCATTTATTTATCATATTATCATCGCAATAAAACGACGCGTCGAGCACGTAACATTTCTGCTCTTGTAATCTCGGTTGCAAGTTGAGAGTTCGGAACTATAAGATTTTCGTGGCTAAGTTACGAAGGATTTTGACCCCGAGGGGCAAAATGTAGAAGTTGGAGAATATTTAATTTTCCCCGACGGAGGTGCATTGTAGATATAAAAGGCTCGAAACGATAACGATAGAAGGAGGCAGAAGAGTGAGAAGGGGAGGGGAGCTGTAGACGATAAAATAAACGTGCAAGGATACGCGAGCGTATTTCTAATTTATA